TGAATGCACTTCTTTGAGGGTCCTGTAAGAAAAAGATAGCCCCCTCTGAGATCCACCTCTGTCCTCTAGGAACTCACCCCAAAGCACCCCACTCTTAACTGTGGCCTCCACCTTTCTGGGTGGAGAGAGACTCCCTCTGGGAGGTGGGAGCAGTAGCAAGAGACTGGATTCCTCTTCTCTTAGATGGAAGGAAGCCCTAAAAGCCTGTCTAAGTGGTCAGGCAGTGGGACAGGATTTGCATCTCATGTGACAGCCACATGCAGCAAGGACATGGTGATGAGTATCGCAGGGTCCACGTGGGGCTGGAGTGGTCTGGTGGTCAGAAATACTGTGATGTGGAAAAGTCTGGAAATTCTTTCTTAAGAAGCATTTCTTTTTCTGCAGCCTCACTAGCAGGGTCCGTGTCCTGAACAATGACACACATGGTATTTCCCTCCCTTCTAGGGATTCCAGGGAGCAGAAGGCCAAGGAGCTCACCGAGTTTCATTCTCTCCACATGTAAAATCGCTTTCTCTTTATCACAGGTCATAGGAAGATCAGGACACTGAAAATCCATACTGTCATCCTTAGGTTTTTCTGAAAGTAGAAGAGGACAGTTAAGTGGTATTCAGTCTTCATTCCATCTTCCTCTTGAATTCTCCTCTCCATGAATTCCAATAATTATAAAATAATAACAATGACAATGTAAATGGCATTGGGGAACCGTCTCTGGTTAATTTGCAGGAGTCTTCCATTGTGAGTGCCACATTAGCTATGTGTACAGAGTGTTCTGTAACCAACAAACCTACCACTGCCACCAACATTACCTCAAACCAAACATTTCAATGGAATACAAAGGGCTTCCTTGGTGAAAGTGTTTTAATTTGCAGGCTAATTGGCCATGACCTAATGTTCTTTTATTCCATAAGCATCCTACTTATCTCTCTATGCGGATGAAAGTTGCCTAGCTAAAATATTTCTTTGTGTTAATGTTTCTGGAGAAAAAGTCTTCATTTATAATCTTATTTCCTGATTCAAACAGAGACTTGGGAGAGTGAGATGGTTGGCAGGAGGGTGGCGCCAGTCTCCATTGTCTGCTGTCTGTATTCATTTTAGTGCTTTCCTGTTTCTTCCTCTATGAAAACCCTGGAGAGTTCTAGACTAATCTGGAAAGTGCACATAGAGAGATTTGGCAACTCAGGACTGCTGAGTGGAAATCTGGGGTTCTGATGCAAGAGAAGCCAAGTCCCTTAGGCCCAAGGACTTTCAAAGCCACCCACCTTGCGCCAAAAAGCAGCTTTCTGGTCTGTTCCCAACAGTCCTGAGTGTGACTCAGCTTCACCTGCCCTCTCACAAAACAGGCCTTAAGGATGGAACCCTGTGGCCCCAGGAAGCTGCGGGACAGGCCTGCCTGGGCTCCAGCATCCTCCAGCTCATCTTCTAAGGGAGCTACAGTAGCGTCGGGATTAGGGCCCCGTCAGTACGTGGGAGCAAACAGCGAGGAGCTGCTATGAAGAGTAACCAATTATAGAACAGAGAGAGCTAGTGGAAAGGAAAAGCATGGTGGAGAAGATTAAAAAGAAAAGCCTAATAGAGACAAGGAATAGCGGAATGGAAAAAAACTAATTAGTGATCAAGAGACCAACCCCAGGAATTCTTACAGAACACAGGGAAAAAGCATAAGGTGGAAATTGTGCATGGAAAGACGGGAAGGCTGGGGAAAGATCTGGAAGCTCTATGCTATACACAAGAGGGGTCTGGGGAGGGGTGGTAGGAGCAGAGATGGGCAGCAGGAGGAAAAGTAATAGTCAAGGAAATAGTAGGGGCAGCAGACACACTGTCGTCCACCGTCACGACAGTGTGTAAGAAAGAGGAGGCGGCGACTGCTCTCCTTTTATGGACGGGGCACTTGGGCTCGGGCTTGGCGAGAGAGTTTCTGGTGGTCACCGCACTGTGTGAGGAGGAGCTGGCACTGAATTCAACACGCCAGACTCCTAGTCTCGCGCTCTTTCCCTGTCATCAGAAATGCTGCAAGGAGGTTTCACATGATACGATCGATAACAGCACAGCCACCCTGTGTTTAATCAGAAGTGAAGACAAGGCGGAAGTGCTGAGGAGGCGGGAGAAGCTGAGCCAACTGCAGGCATTGCCCGGCTCCTGCCTCTGCCTGCGTATCAGTGTTTCATAAAAGGGCTAGGAGGTAGGTGGGTTTATTTATTTACTTTTTTGGTGTAAAGACAAAAGGACTTAGAATTAGAATATCTGGGTTGATTTTAGCTCATGTGTCTTTAATTGAATCTGTAAAATGGGCTCGTAAGGCTGACTTATTGTGAGGATTAAATGATACAATGTAGAACAAAGTGCTTTGTCAATTGTGAAGTGCTGTACACATTTATATCGCTATGAAGGCCTCTGCCTAAGGTCGTGCGGGTTGTGCACCGAGCAAGGATTCCACCTTTAAGGGTGTGCTCTGAGTCACATCACTCAATGCGTTCGCTTTGTACAACAATCTTCCAGCAGAGGGCAGCAAAGGATTTGGTTTCAGGAATCAGCTCTGCCAGTGCACTGAGGAAGGGGCACCTGTTTCTAATTCCAACAAATGCATTATATGGGCCCAGATATTGGTATTTATACTTGACGAAGAAGAATGACTAACGTATTGATTCATCAGTTATTTAAGTATCAGGTATGTGAGGCTCAGGGAGCTGACACAGAGCCACGGACAAGACTAATCCACTTACTGACCTCGCACGAGTTTCCCGCAGTGAACAGGCTGTGCGCAGATCGTTAATTAGAGTTCACATAAGGTCCATGAAGAAAAAATGCAGGCCTTTACGAGGGCATGTCGGGGAGACCTGCCCCTGCCTGCCGGACAGAGAAAGCTCCCTGTGGAAGTGACGTTTAAGGTGAGGGCTGGGGGTGTGAAGCGGGAGGAAGGGATTGGCTTTGGGGAGGGGCATGTAGCGCGGAGACCCACGTGAGGAGGCCGTGAGCAGGGAGGAGGTAAAGTGTCCAGGTGACCTACGTGGTGAGAAATCAGGCTAGTGCGACCCTAGGCCTGGGGGTAGGGATTGGATTATGGCTGTTGATTCCGTCCTGTTTCTTGACCTGGGTGCGGGGGATGTGAGTGCTTTGTGGGTGTGTGTTAATCCATCATGCGTGCACTTATGATACACGCGTTTCTGTGTAAGTACGTCGCACTGGTGCTACTCCATGTTCTGGCCTGAGGCAAGACAGGAGCTTGATCAGACTCAAGGCACCGCTCTCTCCACGGAGGAGTCTGGCTGTGAAAACAGTGCTGCGCGTCCCCGTTGATTGACAAGCTTATTCTTGCAGACCTGCGAGAAACAAGGTTGGACGTGGCACCAGTCTGGGGACCCCAGCGTGTGTAGCACCTGTTATGCTCCAGGAATGAAAAGAACAAAGGCCAGTGGGGCTGGAGCCTAAAGAGGGAAGAGAGTGTGACAAGAGATGATGCTGAAGAAGTAAGATAGGGCAGCAGAAGAACAACGAGTGTCAGAGGAGGCGCAGGAGGGCGAGGACAGCCATGCAAAGGGGCCTGAGCGCAGAGGGGCCGGGCAGGAGCAAGCCCAGACCCGACCCACACAGGAGGGGAAAGAACGCTGGCGCTCTGTGCTTGGATAAGCGTTTCCTGTAATAACTACAAGGGAGGAAGTAGAAGTTGATATCAGAACTTGACTTATGGGTTCGGTGATCTCCCTCAATCATTTTTGGGTCTTGCTCAGCTCTGTGTTAAAGAATCCTCCCGAGTGTGGAAACAGCCACCAGGTGCTGCCAGAGTAGGTTGGGCGGCAGCACTCCTGATGCGCCGCTGTTCGCCTGGCACCTCCGGGGGTGGACGAGAACCTAAGAGAAGGACAAGGACCGTGGAAGGGAAAGAGGAGGACAGGGAGGGTGGAGCCTTCAGCAGAGGCCAGGGCTCTGGGAGCCGGAGGGGGAGCTCCAGGGCTTGCTCACCCCTCCGGCCAATATTTTTCTGAAACCTTGTTTTCAAACTTGAACAGGTACCTTTCTTCCTCTTCTTGTTTTAAAATATTAATAATCACTTATAGCTGTAAGCATAGATTTATAAGCCTCCTATGTCAACAATTTTAAAGTAATTTTTCCTGCCTTTCTACCAGTTTGGAGAGAGAAGCTATATATGAGCCCCTCTGAAAGGAAAATGATAGCATTGACTAAGGGAAAATAGCACGTGCATGTTTACAGATAGGAAGGCTAAAAATATTACAGAAGCCAAATTTTCACTAATTATGTATCTATATTTAACATAAATACTAGATGTAAATAAAGGCATGTATGGGCTTCCCCCCTTATCTGCGGGGGACATGTCCCAAGCCCCCCAGTGGATGCCTGAAACTGCAGATAGTACCGAACCCTATATAGCTGGGGTTCCCAACCCCTGGGCCCTGGACCAGTAGTGGTCCATGGCCTGTCAGGAACTGGGCCATGTGGCAGGAAGTGAGTGGCAGGTGGGTGAGCAAAGCTTCATCTGTATTTACAGCTGCTCCCCATCGCTCGCATCACCACACAAGCTCTGCCTCCTGTCGGACCAGCGGCAGCACTAGCTTCCCATAGGAGCGCGGACACTACTGTAAACTGCGCATGCGAAGGGTCTAGGTTGCACGCTCCTTATGAGAATCTAATGCCTGATGATCTGAGGTGGAGCTGAGACAATGATGCCCTCCCCCTATCCTCCCACCCCCGATCTGTGGAAAAATTGTTTTCCACCAAACTGCTCCTGGGTACCAAAAAGCTTGGGGACTGCGGCTGTACAGACTATATTTTTTTTATTTGATAACCAAGACGGCTACTAAGCAGCTAACAGGCAGGCAGTGTACACAGCATGGGACGCTGGACAGAGGATGATTCACGCCCCTGAGTGGGACGGAGAGGGACAGTGTAAGATTTTATCACGCTACTCAGAACAGCATCCAATTTTGAACTTATGAATTGTTTATTTCTGAAATTTACCATTTAATATTTTCGAACCATGTTTGAACATGGGTAACTGAAACCATGGAACGTGAAAGTGCTGATAGAGGGATAACATATAGCATTATAAATATTACACAGAAAGGGCTTTCTAGGGAAAAAGGACAGAGCATAAAGCAGTCGTCGGTGCTGGGTGATTCTGCCCCCAGGGGATACGTGGCAATGTTTGGAAATTTTTTTATTTGAGAAGCAAGATTGGGAGGCAGGTGCTCCTGGCCTCTAATGGGTGGGGGCCAGGGATGCTGCTAAACACCCAAGGAGGCACAGTGTGGCCTCCGTAGTAATGAATTTTTCAGCCTCAAATGTCAATAATGCCGTGTTGAGAAACTCTGGCATAAACCATACTGCTGAAGATAGACTGATTTGTGTATTAAAAAAAATGTCTCCACAACCAAAAGCTTCTCAAGTAAGTTAAATGACAAAAACAAAATGAGAAAAATGGCAGCAAGTATAATGAAGGGTTTATTTCCCTAACTGCTTAAACACAGAATGACTAGTAGTATATAAAAATGGGCAAATATGAATAGGTGATCCTCAAAAGAAAAAATTCTAATAATGACAAATTTATTAAAGCAACAGGTAAATTAGTAAAGATAGGCTAGATAATGCTGTGGTAATCCATGATCTTCCCAAATCTCATCAGTTTATTATAGCTGTCAGCAAAGTATGGCCTGAGGGCCAAATTGGCCTGCTGCCTGTTTTTGTAAATAAAGTTTTATTGGAACACGTTGATTCCCATTTGTTGTGTCTCTGGCTGCTTTCACGATACAAAGGCAGAGCTGAGTATTTGTGAGAGAGACTGTATGGCCAGCAAAGCCTAAACTATTTATCTTCTGGCCCTTTCGGGAAAAAGTTTGCCAAGTTCTGGTTTACAACAACAAAGGTCTACTTCTCCCTCATGCTGCTTGTTCACACATTAGTTGAAGCTCAGCCCCATGTCACCAACAATCCTGGCTCCTGGGGACAGGGCAGCCTCTGTCTAGAACATTGCTGGTCTTGGGACACAGGGAAAGAAGATATGTAAGCCCTTAAAGCTTTGGCCTGAAAGTGAGCCTCTCACTTTGGTCCATGTTTTTTTGGCTAAGTCAAGTCACATGGGCACTCCTGAGTCCACAGGGCAGGGCTGTGTAACCTTCTGAGGAGATGGGGCACTGGAAGATTGGTTAACAGGAATACAACAAACCACGGCATGTTTAATCATCTGCATAGTGCAAAGAAATTCAAAGGAAAACACCAGTGGAATATCATTCTTTGCCTTTACATTTGGCAAACAGAACACTCTTGTTATTTCTAATGCTGCTGAAGGAGCAGGGAAAAGGATGCCCATACAATGTTAATGGGAGTGTAACTGACAATAATTTTGGCAATTTCACAATCAATATGTGTTAATTTTAAATATGCAGACTCGATGACCAAGCAACTTCACTTCTAGAGATGAACCATTAAGGGATAATGCTGAAGATGTGTCCACTTTGAGGATTGGTGCTACTTTCATTACTGAGTCGGCCAGAATCAAATGAGTCTCCCATGCTCAGTAGAGTAGTGGTGACTCTGTTAATAGAAATGAAAACATCAGATACTGGGGAGTGGCCATGTGAATCCACATGGCAATGCCAAGGAGAACTGCGCCCTGAGAACACACTTCCTTCTTCCAAAAACTACTCTCACACCAACAGGTCCTCGCTTGTCTGTACTTCTCCCTCCTTCTACTGTTAACTTCACATGAGTACCCAACCCTGTACCTGCTCCAGGACAGACCTTCCCACATTGAGCCATTGAAATGGCAGATACCATCATCAGCCTTACCCTTTGATCTTGCCTTTTGGGCCCTTGTCATGATCTTTGAGTTGCAGGTTGAGTCGTCCGTCTTCCTTTGAGTCGCCTGACCCACCACTGGGAGCTTTTCTTGGATCCCATGCCCAGGTGAAGTTGCCTCTGGACCAACCAAGCAGTGATTTGTGAATAGTTTAAATTGGGGTCCCCTAATTAGTGACCCTCTTTTCATTACCCCTTAACCTTTCAGGAGATCTCTGTACCTCACTTTTATCTTGCCATTTCTCTATAATTACTTCCCTCTTTTCTTGTGTATATCTTTCTCTCCCAGACTTACAATACTCACCATACTTCTTCCTGTTTCTCTTTTTCCTTTCAACCCTTCTTTTTGTTTATTAATTATAGGTATCTCAATTAGAGTATAAGCTCCATAAGCACACTCTTACACTCAATCTATCTTTGCTGAATAAACGTGTAACAGGCACTAAACTTTTAGAAATATTAGAAGTACATATTTTTCATTGTTATAAGTGGTAAAGGTTTCCCTGACTATTCAATCAACGGGTTTCAGGGGAAGGGAAGATGCTGGTTAGAACTGAGATGTCACTACTCAGTTGAGGCCATTTTGGAGACCTTAGACAAAATCTTGAAATACACAATTTTTTGAGAGCAAAAGGGGATTTCTAAGTTCCAAAAATTACCTCTACACACCAAAGAAAAGCTTAGAGGTCTGAATGTCAAGTTTTCCTAGAAGTTAGGGGTACCGAACACTCAGCAAATGACAGAAAGTTTCCTCCAGCCCAGGGAGGAAATGGGGCAGGGAATGGGGAGGAAGAGGCCAGGGGAGGAGAAGGGCAGCAGACCTGAGTCCCTTCCCAGCTCAACCCCCAAGGCTGAGGCATGTTGGGAACAAGCAGAAAAACTGGGGGAATTTCCACAGCAGTGACATTCATGTCCCGATTCATGTTTGGGAGCTGGGAGGAGATTCCTTCCCAGGGTGGCCCACGTCACCATAAGGGCACAGAATCCAGAAGAATCCCCACTGCCTGGCACACCTTGGGCCCTCGGTAAATAATTAAAAAAAAAAAAGAAAGAAAGAAAAAGGGAAGGAGAAAGGAATAGGAAAAGGGAAGAGGGAGAAAATTCAGAGCAGAAAAAGAAAGGGGTGATGAAGGCCATAGAGAAGAGACATAGCAGAGGAGCCAGAAAAATGCAGTTTTTTTGTTTCCTATTCTACAAATAACACAGTTTTCGTGCATTGGAGTAGATGCATAAACGCAGGCATGTAAAGAGGCTTGAGTTGACTGAGGTGGTTCTGAACACTCTGTGACTCCAAATCTAATTTCAGTTTGGGATTGGGAGTCTGAGTCCTGGTCGCGGATTCAGGTTTCCCGTGTCTGTTCTTCCTGGCTCTGACCCTGGACTGGATGCAATCCTAATCTCAAGACCGTCTGACACCTCATGTCCGTCTCAACCCCATTCCTTCCCTACGATAAGAGAAAAGAAGGCCAGGTTTGAACCAACTTGGTGCTGGGTTCTCCCTTCTTTTGTGGGGAGGAGTCCTTTGATGGGGTGGCCTAGAAGACAGGGTGGGGCTGGCCGTGCTCCAGAGATAAAGGGTGTCTGCATGGCTGGAGAGGACCTCCTGGTCAGGCTGGCCAGTTGAGTGAGCACCCTGATAAACACCACGGGAGTAACAGCTTCACTTTTCTTCCTTACCTCTTGGGAGCCTTTTTTCCTGTCTTCTTCTTGGACTTGACCATCTACATTCTTTTCTACTCTTTTCTGGAAAAAAAAAAGTATATAATAATAATCACTTTTTATGGGCTACAAATATTGATCTACAGCCCGTGATATCAATATTTTTTAAGTAAATTTTTTTCTGCTTTCCCATCACTTTGGGAAAGCAAGAAAACCATGTGACCTCTGTGAAAAAAGTATTTTACCTGGAAATGAAAAAGGATTGAACGAAGATGTAACGGGGATAGCTAACATTTAAAATATGCCATTTTAAAACTAATTAGTGGTTTTTTTAAGACTAGACAAAAATATAGAAAGAAGCTGTTATAAGCCATGGATATTAAGAGGTTTTCCTAACCAAAACTCAAGGCCAGAAGTTATACAGCTAAAAGATAAACAAATTTGAATGTTTAAAAAATTTAAACTGTCTACACTTCAAAAAACGCCCCCACGATATTAAAACGAAAGCAAAATGAGAAAAATTGCAATATACGTAACATATAGAAGGTAAATATCCTTATTAGATAAAGCAAAAGATGAATAGTATGCTAGGAAAATAAGCAAAGAACATAAATTAAAAATGCTCAAGGAAAAGAAGATGACACATTTATTAATATTTAGAAATCATCTTTACATTACTAATAATGAACGAAATGCATTGTTTACTTTCAAGTATGCCCAAATATTTAAAAAGTTTTATCATATCTAGTGTCGAGGATGTAGAAAATGAGTACTCATATATTGTTAAAGGGAACAAAAATCATTACATTTTCTGGGGGGCAATTCAGTAATATGTACACACTTTAAGATATATAGATTCTAACCAAGCAATCTCATGTTTAAAAATCAATTCTAAGGAAATTACTGGACAAGTGTGCAAAGATAAAACATACATAAACCTGATTTCTATTTTAATATAAAAATTGCACATAAGCTAACTGTCCATTAATAGGTGATTATTTAAACAAATTGTGCTTAATCATAGAGACCAAAGTATACAGACTTTCTTTACACTTAAGCTTTTTCCTGGAAGACTTTCCCAAAGAAGGTTTATTTCCATTATCCATAGGATCTAGAAAGTAATGAGAAAGAAAGTAATCTCTGAATAAGCCAATTTTATATTTTTGTGACCACACTCATCTCTGGCAATAGTGAACTGACAAGGCTTTGACAATATTATTTCTGCGCCTTCCTTTCTAATGGAGAATGATGGCTCCTGAAGAGAATCCTCAGGGAGCAGGAGCCTAGTCCTGTGCCAGCCAGCCGTCATCCATAGGATCCTGGACAAGCCAATTAATCCTTTCTGTGTCTCAATTTCCTCATCTGTAAAATTGTATTAAATCATTCAACCGTCTCCAAGGGTTGTTGTGAGAACAACATAAAATTATTCATCAGAAAAGTTGAAATATTACTATATAATTCAGTGCAATGTAGGAGAAACTGTTAAAAATGATAATTTAGATTTTAAGGTGGTAAAATTTAACCCATTCTTCCTGACATTAATTTAGATAATTGTTATTTGAAAGTCACAATTGTCATGTGAGGGTTCTGTGAATTTGTGACACAATGATCATATCACCAACAAAGAGAAGAATATGCAACTGTATTTTCCCCTCTAAGGATGGTGGTATCAGCTTACTCCAGAAATGTGAACTATGGTGGCGATGGTGAGTGGTGAACTAACACACCCCGTTTTACCAGCACACGCTCACAGCAACGCTGCCAGTTGCACATGCTCAGTCATAGCATTACATGCGTGTTTGTGATAAGCTTTTCTCTTCCCAATTTTCCCAGAAAGGTCACATGAGAAATATGGAGACCGGAACCCTAGAAAAAAGCTTGATCCATGGGTCAGTATGGGACCAAGAATATCCTTAGGACATGCATTCTCAGTGGTGGTGATGTTGCCTCCAGCAGAGCAAAAATTGGTTCTTGGGCGGTGAGAAAGATCTTATAATGTACAGATTACACACGCACACATACACACACACACACACACGCACACACATACATATTACATAAATAGACACATATTTGTGGTATTAAAATATCATGGGGAGGGCCATGATTAGGAAAAAAATTCAGAAGGGCTCTTCAGCACAGCAATAAAGAAGAAAAAAAAGGTTGAGAAATACTGGCTTAGAATAAAACAGCTCTGAATTTGGGTTCCTGATGACTGCACTCTGAGACTAGCAATCCCTAATCTTTACCTTGTGTGGCCGTTGGTGGTGTGCTAGGCGTCTCCTGGGACTTCTTTCCTTTATTCATTTCTGAAGTGCTGTCACTGATGTCTGAAAAAAGAAAGATTTCGGTAAATGCCCTCCCGGCAAGTTCCATTAGGAATCTCCCGGAGACTCAGGAAGGACCTCGCACACTCTGGAGCTGCGGGCTGGAGAGCAACTTCATCAAGTTCGCCGATACGGTTTCAGATTCTACATTATAACTAATGTTTAAGAAACTGCCACTTACTGTATTTTGGAGTTGTATTAAAAGTGAACATCCACAGATATCTCAAAAAGACTGTTCAAATTTTCTACCCTTTTCAACTACAAATCTGTGTGAGGCTGGATTTTCTTCCTATACTTTGAACCAAAGCAACATATCATAACTGATTGAATGCAGTAGCAGATATAAGAATCTAGCTTCTTCTAGGAAGCTAGACATTAAATAAATTTGCAAAAATATAAAGTGATGTCACTCTTTTCACTAATTTTCTTTTTGTTTTGGAAAATATATTTGTTTTTCATAAAAACAATATGTTACTTATGTTAATGGGTAATTGGCTTTTTATTGTTTCTTTTTTAAATTTCTAGTAAGGTACATATAGACATAAACAACATAAAAAAAAGCCCTTTGGGGTCCTCAACGATTTTTAAGAGTATAAAGGAGTTTTGAGACCAAAAAGCTTCAGAGCTGCTGCCCTGGGCCACAGCTGGCCCTGTCAACATACCTGTTTCTTCAACATAAACTCCTTAGATGCACTAGATCCTTGCTGTCTCTTTGTCCCTCTTGTTACACTCCATCCTCATTCTCTGTACTTCTCCCTCCTTCTTGTTTTGACTTTACATATCTATTGATACCTAACCCTGCACCTGGTGGAATGGCAGATTCCATCATCAGCCTTACCCTTTGATCTGGACGTTTGGGCAAATTCAGTTCTTGTCTTTTGGGTCCTTGTCACTACCTTCAAGTTTCTGGTTGAGTCATCCTTCCTTTGAGTCATCTGATCCACCACTTGGAGCTTTTCTTGAGTGCCCTGCCCAGGTAAGGCTGTCCCTGGACCAAGTGTGATTTGTGAATAGTTTAAGTTGGGGTCCCCAGTAAGCCTCCTCCTATCCCAATCAGTGACCTCCCTTTTCATGCCCTTGGCTCTCACCCATACAAGAGATCTCTGTATCCCTGTACCTCACTTTACTCCTATTTCTTTATAATGATCTTTTTTCTTTTCTTTTCTTTTTCCTTACATACTACTTTTTGAAATGTCTTTTTTTCTTGTATGTATCTTTCTCCCCCCAAATTACCACCTGCTTTAACTCCAGGTACCACTTGTTGAAATCAATCAGATAAATTTGGGGAAATCCCAGAGCATTGGGGCATATTTCCTGATTTTTTCTTGTGTGACTCCTGAACCATTAAGCGGCAACATCTGAGGAGAAACGGCTATGGCCATGTAGTCTTGTTTCGGTGGAGACGTGGCCTTATGAAGCACCTCTCCGGGTTCCCCCAGAGTCTCTGTGTGCTGCGGGAGAGATCCAAAGGTTCCAACTTCCTCTAGTGGGAAAAGTGCAAGGAATCAAAGAATTGAGGCAAGAACCCCACCAAGAAGGCAGCTACCCCGAGGAAGGTCGGATGGAGGTTGAGGCATAGGATGCGGAGGTGAGTCCCATTCATTGTAGAAAGAAGAAAACACATTTTTCACTGGCTGTGGATTTTAGAACTGATCCCCCCAGAATAACCACTGTCCAGTGGAACAAAGATGTCTCTCTGGAGGTTTGTGAGGACACGCACTGCGCAACCAAGGCTCTCGGCAGGCGGGCCAGGACCTTTTCTGGATACCCAGAGGCCACTTCCGGAGGAAGTGGGAGTGGCTAACCGTTTGAGAGGCAGACCGAAGCCGAAGCCCGCCCTGGCGGAGAGTTCAAACACGGAAGTTACTGACTATCCCAAAGGAGATGGGTGTAAACTGAAAAGGCCTAAAACTTGTCTTTAAATGGCAACTTTAATTTCCACCCCCCCATAACGAAGATGAAAACTCCTACAGAAAATACGGGAGAGTGGTGTGTATATTTTAAGCACTACTACATGGTTTTTTTCTCTCTCTAAATTTTGA